TAGTAAACGGTGAATTATCTCAAAATATTCAAATTCAGAAAGGTACAAGACAAGGCTGCCCTCTCTCCCCATTATTATTTATATTCATAATCGAATCACTAATTGACAAAATTAGAGTTAACGAAACAATAAGAGGGTTGAGAGTAAAAGGAGAAGAACTCAAGGTACAGGCCTTTGCTGATGACCTAATATTTGTACTGGAAGACCTAGAACAATCATTGCCATCCCTGATAAATGATATAAAAGAATTTGGACAATTAGCTGGGTTTAAAATTAATATCCAAAAACTAAGATAATGGTAAAAAATTGCTCCCAAAGACTGATAACAAAACTAAAGGAGATGTCTAAAATGGAAGTAGTGCAAAAAGCCAAATACCTAGGCATTTGGTTATCAGATAACTCGACCCCGCAGTTGGTGGTCCAAGCCATCCGAGCGGAGAGGGAAGCCCTACCGGCGCCACTGCCCAGACCTGAGGATGTACTCGTGCCGGGACCAGGGGAGGCCCCCGCTCCAGCACCACAACCAGCCAGCCCGAGAGGTCCGGTGCTACATCGCCGAAAGACCTGACCGAAGCCACGTTCGATGAAAACCCTGAGGAACTATCCTACTTTGTGGTGCGAGTGATGAAGTTTGTGGAAAGGTCGGGCCACCTGTTCCCGGATGACAGCAGCCGAGTGGATGTGGTGGCAGCCCGCTTACAGGGAGCCGCCGTGACTTGGTATGTGGGATCGCACAACGCCAGGGGCCCGGAGCTGGTGAATTTGGACGCTTTTTTGTGGGCGTTGCGTGCCCAGTTTGAAGACCGGAACGCCAGGCCCAAAGCGAGAACGTTTCTACGCACCCTGAAGCAAGGGAGGAGATTGGTGAGAGAATACTCCTCCGAGTTTAAGTTGCACGCGGCAAAGGTCCAAACTTGGCCAGATCCAGTGCTAGCTGAGTTGTATCGGGTAGGACTGAACCCAGAGATCCGGGAAACAGTCATAAGAACATAAGAGATGCCAATGTTGGATCAGGCCAAAGGCCCATCCAGCCCAACACTCTGTATCACACAGTGGCCAGAAATACCAGGTGCCATCAGGAGGTCCAGCAGTGAGGCCAGGACATTAGAAACCCTCCCACTGTTGACATTAGAACCAGGACATTAGAAACCCTCCCAAGGTAGGTACCTATCTCCATATTTGGTGGAGATGCAACAAATTAAAACCCTATTGGGAAAAAATACATAAAATCCTATGAGAAGTATTTAAAACAAATATTCCTTTGAAACACGAAATATACCTTTTAAATATGATCCCGGATAGCATAAAAAACCACAAATTAATAATAACATATATATTGACAGCAGCAAGAATATTGATAGCAAGACGGTGGAAATCGAAAGCTATACCATCAATAAGAGAACTCAAACACAAGATTTTAGATATTGCAGAAATGGATAAATTGAGTTTAGAACTGAATAATAAATCAGAGAATGTATTCTGGAAAAGATGGAAGAGTATATATGACTGGCTAAAGCATAAAAGGAAAATTTAATTTGTAAGCAAAGTGCTAGTGAAAACTATATATGTGAAACTGAATGATTTTTGGAGATGTATAATCGATCGACTAATTGTCATATTTTATATATAATGAATTTAGAGAAATGTAAAGGTGAAAACTTGGAAAATAAATGTATATATATATAAAAAAGAAACCCTCCCAAGCACCAAGATGACAGAGCATCACGCCCCGGAGTCCCTATCTATACCTTGTGGCTAATAGCCACTGATGGACCTCTGCTCCATATGCCTATCTAATTCCCTTTTGAAGCCGTCCATGCTTGTAGCCGCCACCACTTCCTGTGGCAGTGAATTCCATGTGTTAGTCACTCTTTGGGTGAAGAAGGACTGCCTTTTATCCGTTCTAATCCGACCACTCAGCAATTTCATGGAGTGCCCACGAGTCCTACGGGTGGTGGACCAGGTCTCCTTACCGTCCTGGATGCAAGAGGGGGAGAGTGCAGAAACCCACCTGAATACCCTGCGCCTGGACATCGCAACAGCAGGAGGTAAGCCTAACTCTCCCCCGGTGCAGAAGATGAAACCGGCGGAGTTGGCTGAGTCTCCTCGAGAGCGACGCATGCACCAGGGGCTATGCCTAAAGTGTGGGGAGAGGGGCCATTTCGCGGCCGACTGCGGTGGAGTGGACCAAGGGAGGCAGAGCTCGAGCGAATCCCGTAAAAGC